AGCAAGGCTAAGGTGAGTGCAATTTATTTTGTACTTAGGTTCTTGAACAAGCATTGGCCTGCGATGAGCCAATGATGGAGTTAATATGGTAAGAGGTAACTTTTAAAATGTTATGTGATTATTATGTGTGTATTAGTATATAGAAATGGATATATATATATATATAGTTTACATGATTTACATGTTTACGTGAAAATGCACTAGAGATATATGTGATGCATTGGAAACATATGAGAACAAGAGATGACATGATTTGTATGATGTATGAATTCATGAGTAAAGGCATATGTGAATATAATTGTATGCATTATATGTCATGTGAACATAAGAGGATAGAGCATGAATTATATGATATGAGAATTGATATTAACTACGTGAAAGGAAACTACATGATTACATGCATATGTGATACGAGCTATGTGACACATGAATATGAATTCATATGAAAAGTGACATGAATTACATGACATAAAACTATGTGATTATATGCATATGTGATATGTGATCATAAGAACAATGATATGAATACATGAATATATGAAGCAAAAGAAAAATGCCCATGTTATATGATACGAGAGCTATAGGTATAGTTGGCATGCCAAGAGTCGAGGGTTTCATAGGTCCTTCGGGACAAATTTTATATGCCACTCAGTGGGACTTATACGAGCTGTGGTGACAGCATTAGTGCACAACCTCAATGTACTCACATACCTTCCGTTCTCACCAGTGTACCATGGGCTAATAAAGAAATAATATCAAATATAGTATATATATGATGTATATGTTTGTTTTTATGATACAAAATGCATTATATGAATTATACGATATTATGTATGTTTTGTTATGAAATGATATATGTATTCTATGATGTATATGGAAAGGTTCAACATATGCTTATATGATTAAAAAGGAATTAGTAATAATAAGATGATTACTGATAAATGTATATGTGTGCATTGGTTATACAATGAGAGATATGTTTTATATGATATGATAGTATTTGCAGATGTATGCTTTTGTTTATATGAATGGTATATGGTTATACTATATGTTTTATATTCCTCACTAAGTCATCGACTTAGCGTGTGATTGTTTCACACGTAGGTTTGGAAAGCAAAAAGAGAAGCAAAGATGAGCAAGACAGGTAAGTTCTCCTTACCGAAGATCAGATCAGAAATGTAGATAAAATTTACATGTATTTTGTTAGAAAGAATTTTGTTGGCATGTAATAAATAAAGGATTTGTATTGGATACGCTCTGATCAAGTTTTGAAATGTTTTAAACGTATATATATGTAAATGGTAAAGGTATAGAGATGAACGCTTTTAATTTTATGAATTTATATGTATTTTACGAAAGTTACTGTAGCAGTACTGTAGCAGGGTATCGATTCCCTGTAGCAGGGGAATCAGTTCCCCTTTTTGAATATGGAAAATTTTAATATTCGGGTACTATAGCAGGTATTGTTTATTACTGTTCATACGGTACTGATCATATGTATTTTACTGTTTATAAATACGTTTTTGATTGGAAATTTTATACGAAACACAATTTAATAGAATACTGTGGTATTTTTCTAAAATGAGTTCAAATGTTTTGATATTTTGTAAGAAAAAGGTTTTGAAAAGTCAATGTGACATCTCGGACTCGTATTCGGTTCGGATACGGGTTGGGGTATTACAGATATGATTGACGCTCTCTCTCAAAAATTTGCTTCTTTTTGGGCTCAACCTTCAGATCTTAATCATTCTCCTCCGTCGGATGCCTGATCATTTTCTCTTTGCTAGTTGCATTTGAGTTGGTCTTGCACTATCATACTTTAAAATTTATCTTGGATGATTTTACTACACTTTGATATTTTAGGTTTGATATTTTTTTATGCTTTGATGGATTTTTATGTTCTTCGGATGTTTATTGTGATTTTTATAATATTTTGGATATTTTGAGACATGTTTATTTTGTTATGACCATGCATATTGCTTAAGGATATTGTTTATATTGACTAACCCATTTGGAAATTTTGCTCTTCCCAGCCTTGTTATCTATCTTGTTTGTTTTTAAACTTTCTGATTTAACAAAAAAGGGGAGAAATATTAGAGTAAGGGGGTATTTTTATTTTTCAAGAAAATTTTAAAATTTCTTAAATGTTTTGTTATATAAAAAGTGGGAGATTATTGAACGCACTTTGATATTTTGATATACAAAAAATGTAAAATAGTTTAAACAAATTTTAAGATTACATTCGATTCGATCATTCGAATATATAAATTGTCTTTAAGGTCAAAAACTCTATTTTACTCCTCACTCTATTGAAAAATTGAGTCTTATACCAGAAATATCTTTGAAATAATTTTTACTCCTCACAACCTTGTTATCTATCTTGTTTATTTTTAAACTGTTTGATTTAACAAAAAAGGAGAGAAATGTTAGAGTAAGGGGGAGTATTTTTATTTTTCAAGAAAATTTTAAAATTTCTTAAATGTTTTGTTATATCAAAATGGGAGAGATTGTTGAACACACTTTGATATTTTGATATACCAAAAATGTAAAATAATTTTAAGAAATTTTAAGATTACATTCGATTCGGTCATTCGAATATATAAATTGTCTTTAAGGTCAAAAGCTCTATTTTACTCCTCACTCTATTGAAAAATTGAGTCTTATACTAAAAATATCTTTGAAATAATTTTTATTAAGGGTTTCGTACTTTAATCGAGTCAAAAATTTATTTTAAGTGTAGTAGTACCGATAATACATGAACAATATTGATATTGTTCATGAAGTATCGATACAACTATCGATGTTGAAGCACAAAATTACGCAGTAGTACTAATACTGCTAAGGCAGTACCGATACTGTCTGTAGGTTTGACAAAATAAAATGTTATTTTGGTACTGATACTATTTCAGTACATATACTACTTTTTATAGTAGTATCGCTACTTCTCATGGTAGTACCGATATTATCCTTTTGTTTTTAAAATTGTCAAATTCCAGTATACTCATTTGGTACTGATACTATTCACAATATTGATACTACTTATTATAGTAGTATTGATACCCCTTATATCAGTATTGATACTACCTTTCCCCAACAACTATATTTTATATTTAATGCCGGGAGTATCGATACCCAAAGCCTGAGTACTGATACTACAAGCTTCTGGGCATCATTTATTATGGGAAACTACCTCCCAACGATTCTATTCACTCCCACAACAACCCAAACGATTAAAATTAATAGAGGGAGTATAAAAATAAGATTCCAAGTCATATTTGAAGATAAGATATCAAAGATAAAGTCAAAAACAACCAATTTGAGCCAAATCATGTCAACATTATTCAACATTCCTTTTGTTTTCAAAGAACATTTTTGTACTCATTTGTTTTCATTTTCTCAAGTGTTCTTATTTGTTCTTGAATTGTGCAAACACATTCCTTGTGAGGTTTTTATAAGTTTGTAATTTGTAATTTTCTCTTTGAGAGAGTATCTCAAGAATTTAGGGTATAATTCTTGAAAAAGTTGTAAGGTTGCACTTTATCCTGAAAAGTAGCTACAAATTAGTGAATTTGTGAAAATCCTTAGTGTGGATAGCTAAGGTAGTGAATGTAGACTTTAGTTTATAAAGTTGAACCACTCTAAATTTTTGTGTTCAATTTTTATATTTTCTCTTAAAGCTTCCATCAAAACTTTTATTTACCAATTCACCTTCTTCTGGGCTATTTCATCCATTCGAGTGACTCAACATTATGGTTACACGTGAAAAAGTATTAGCACCCCTACAATACTTGTAAAAATGATGTTTACTTGATTACAAATATTTGTCTCTATTCATGTATATTGTTAGTGTAATTTTATATTAATATGAAATTCTTAAGTTCTCAAGAATAGTCTCAGATTCTCTGACAACTAAGAGGATTAAAATTAAACTCGAGTATTTTGAGAATTTAAATGTTAATCTATATCAGAAAATTTTGAAAGAGAAGTCTTTCATGGACAATCTCATGTGTTTCCCTACATCCAAGAAAATATTGAAAATTTAGCCACTCTCAAGAAGACATCTCAATTTTCATGAATTATACTTAAAAAGTCAAAATTCACAACTCTTTAAATACTCCTAGATTCTATAAGATCTAACTATTTCTCAAAATCAGAAGAATCTCATGATTATAAGCAAATTAAATATATTCACAGTGATCTTAATATCGAAAATATTAAGCAAATTAAATATATTCAATAATCGTTCCAGACACTACTACCTAATATTCTCTAATCTTAATATCGAGCACCGAATTCTCTAACTACTTCTCTAAAACCTAAATAATAATGTTAAAGGAATAAAATAACATGTTAAGGAAAAGAAAACAAAATGCGATTTAGGAGTAATTCAAAAGATTCTAATTTATTTAATATTTAGGGCAATAAAGATTCTCCTTGGTCATCTAATAATTATTGACTTTCGACAAAGAAACAAAGATAAATTCAAGAGATTATGAGATAAATCAGATTCCCCTTGAATATATTCATTTTAAAATAAAAATAATAATGGTTGATGTTTGATGAGGAATAATGATAAAATCAAAAGAATTCGACTAATCCAATATCTAAAACAAATTCTTTATTTCTATTTCACACTGAAAGTTTAATAATAATAATATACATGAAAAATATGTTGAATTGAGTAGGATGCTAAAATACGAGTGTAACAAAAAAATATAATTAAATATTGAGTGTCTAAAAATAAATAATATGAAGTAAAATGTTTAAAATATAACATTGAAATCAGGGTGTGAGCTACTCGGACTTGATGCTTAAATATTTCACTAAACTAACACAAGGATGTGTCTGAAGCGATATAGATTAAGAACTAATTTAGAATTGTTTAAAGTCAAAGAGCTAATGTAAAATATTGGTATAGTTTAGGGATGTATGGTGAAAATAACACAATAAAAATTCAAAAAAAAAAAAAAAAACAAGAGCGGAATTCTTTGGTAGTTAAATGAATCCACACCCCCGTTCTTCCTCGCGGTAGTAATAGAGAGTAATAAATAATAACCGATGAAGTGTCCGTATTGCTCGGCGGCGCAAGGTCGGTGCGCCACTACGACAACCGGCCGGTCCATAACAGAGTGCACCTCGTGCGGACGTGTCGTCGAAGAGCGCCAATCCCAAAACCATCACCTCTTTCACATGCGAGCTCAAGATACCCCTCTCTGCCTCGTGACCTCCGACATCCCCATCCCCGCTCCCGCTTCCGCCTACCGAATCCACGAAGACGACCCGTTTGAGCCTACGGGCTTTATCACTGCTTTTTCCACATGGTCCCTGGAGCCCAGTCCACTCTTCCTCCGGTCTTCTCTATCCTTTTCCGGCCACCTAGCGGAGCTCGAGCGGATTCTTGAACTTTCTTCGTCTTCAGCGCCTCCGGAAACGTCGTCTCCGACGGTTGTGGTGGATAATTTGAGGGCTTATATGCAGATTATTGACGTGGCGTCTATTTTAGGGTTGGATTGTGTCGTAATCGGTTTTCGTCCGGGAACGAAATATTAAATTTTGGCGGGGAAATTGATATGAATAAATAATTTTGAAAATAATTTGAGAGTCGCCATCGGCCTTTTGGGTCAGGTAGGTCGAATACCTAAAAATTATCTTTTAAAAATTTTTTTAAGAAAACATTATTTAAAAGATGCACTGATCTGCGTTTTATAACCAAAAATTCGTTCTTTTTAATAATAAAAAGGGATTCGTGGTCGGTTACGTTTAGGGAAGGATTAGCACCCCTACAACGCCCAAAATTGGTACTTTTTAATTATAAATTGTCTCTATTATTAAAATTTAAAAATTCAAAAATATATTTAATTTATAATCCTATTATTTTAAAATTATATAAAAAATATTTATTTATTTAAAATATCCGAAAAGAACTTCTAGGTGCCTTAAGACAGCTCTTTTCTTTGATATTGATAAATATTAATTTAAATAATATTTTTTTACTTTGTAATTTTAAAATATCAGAATAAGACATCCAGTTGTATTAAGACTGTCCTTTTCTTCGATATTAAAAATAAATATTTAAAAAAACTATTCATTATATGTATATTTATGAATATATAAAAATATTTAACAATATAATAAAATAAAAATATCACTAAAACAATATATTTTAAGCATTAAAATGAAAACATATAAAATAAATAACTAAATTATAATAAAAATAAAACTAAATCTAATTCCTAATTAATAATTAATTGAAATTATAGGGTTTAAATATTTTCTAATTTAATAATTTAGTGACCAAAATGAAATTATTTAAAATTTAAATTTTATAATAGAATAAACTAAAAATATGAACTAGGGATAAAAAAAATATTTATTAAAATTAAGGGATTAAATCTGTAATTTATCCTAAATATATTATTTTAATATGAAGGACTAAAATAAAAGAAACTAAAATTCGAAGACTGAATTAAAAAATATTATAAATTCAATTTAGTGACTAAAATGTAAAATTTACAAATACAAGGGACTGCGGACAGGGTTTAATTATTTCAAAATTACGCGTATAGTCCTTCCCGAAACGGCGTCGTTCGGGAAGGACTATAAAAGTCCAAATCGGCTGGCCCGAAGGGCCAGCCATTTCATTTCTTTTCTTCCTTCTCTCTCTCTTCTCTGAGAGAGAGAAATTTCTCTCGCTTCTCTCTAACACAGAGAGAAGCCCAGCCGGCTGGCAGCCGTTAGCCGGCGTTCATCCGCCGTCAACCACCGCCGCCGGCCACCGTCTTCGGTGGCCGGAAAAAATTTTCTTTTATCTAAACGTAGATCGGACCGTCCTAATGACGGTTCCGATGTCTTTTTCCGTTAAACGGCTCCCAATCGGAGCAAATCTAAAATAATACCTTCGGCTTTTCGAAGGGTTTGGTGAGATCCGGCGACGGTTGTGGTTCTCCGTTGACAGGGTAAGCTTCTTTCCTCTCTTTTCTTTTTTTTTTCTTTTGTTGATGTTGACTGAGATCGTTGGTATAGTTTTTTTTTCTTTCTCTCCGTTTCTCTGTTTTTTTTTTCTGGTTTCTGTCTCTTCTTTTTTTTTCTTCGCAGGTGGGGTGGTGGCTTTTATAGCCACCACCATTGTAGCCGTCGGACCGGTCCGAAGAAGGGCTCTCGGTGAGTCACCGGACTACCAGTGGTGACTCACCGAGTAGCCATGGCGTGGACGGCTGTCATTTTATCTTCTGGAGTCTTCGGTTGGGACGTGGCAGCGGCGGAGGCGGCGAGAAGACTGTCGGCAGCCGCGTGGAAGCTGGGGCGGCGCCGCGTGGCCCTAGGGTATCAAACCCTAGGGTTCCTCTCTGGAGCCATCTGGACCGCTGGATCTTGCCAGATCCAACGGCTATGAGCTGAGGCGGCTGGTTAGATTAGGGTTAGGAAACCCTAACTGGAAACCCAAATATTTAGGGTTTCTGGTTGGTTCTGGACCGGTTCTGGTTGGTTTGTAACTGGGCCGGTCCAAATGTAATGGGTCTGTAATTATTATTATGTATTTAATATATTTAATATAAATTAATAAATAATAAATAATAATAATAATAATAATAATAATAATGATAATAATAATATATTAATAATAATGATAATAATATATAATAATAAGGATAATAATAATATTAATAATAATAATATGGATAAAAAATTTAGTATCTTCAGCTGCCCCTCTTTGCTCATTCTTGTGTTAACAAGAATAGGGCAAAGATGAAAAGATAATAAAATTTTTTATCCATTTGACTTTACTTTGATCATTATGGAGATATTGAATAAATTCTTCTTTTTCTCCAAATAAATTCTTCTTATTATGAACTTTCTGCTGGGGATGATGATGACCTTCTTTTTGTGATAGAGTCATCCAAAAGGTTGAATAAGCTCTTGATGAGTTCTTCTCATTATGACCTTTCTCTTCCTTCTTCAGATGAGTTCTTCTCATTATGAACTTTACCTGGCAATGTTGATCCATCAAATGATGAATTCAGGTAAAAGGTTGAACAAATTCTTCTCATTATGAACTTCTTCCTTCTTCAGATGAGTTCTTCTCATTATGAACTTTCTCTGGAAAAGATGATCCACCAAATGATGGATTCAGGTAAAAGGTTGAACAAATTCTTCTCATTATGAACTTCTTCTTCCTTCTTCAGATGATTTCTTCTCATTATGAACCTTCTCTGGAAAAGATGTTGATCCATCAAATGATGAATTTAAACAAAAAGTTGAACAAGTTCTTCTCATTATGAACTTCTTCTTCTTTCTTCAGATGAGTTCTTCTCATTATGAACTTTCTCTGAAAAAAGCTGATCCATCAAATGACGGATTCAGGTAAAAGGTTGAACAAATTCTTCTCATTATGAACTTCTTCTTCCTTCTTCAGATGAGTTCTTCTCATTATGAACCTTCTCTGGAAAAGATGATCCACCAAATGATGGATTCAGGTAAAAGGTTGAACAAATTCTTCTCATTATGAACTTCTTCTTCCTTCTTCAGATGAGTTCTTCTCATTATGAACCTTCTCTGGCAATGTTGATCCATCAAATGATGAATTTAAACAAAAAGTTGAACAAGTTCTTCTCATTATGAACTTCTTCTTCTTTCTTCAGATGAGTTCTTCTCATTATGAACTTTCTCTGAAAAAAGCTGATCCATCAAATGACGGATTCAAGTAAAAGGTTGAACAAATTCTTCTCATTATGAACTTCTTCTTCCTTCTTCAGATGAGTTCTTCTCATTATGAACCTTCTCTGGAAAAGCTGTTCCATCAAATGATGGATTCAAATCTTTGCTAAAATCTTTGAAATTTCTGTTAAAAATTCAACATAGATGAAAATGAATGAAAATGCACCTATTTTTGTAAACACCTAAATATGATGCATGAATATTAAGTTGTTTGATTTCAGACTGGTGAATTGAGTATTTCTTCAATTATAAAAACCCAATATATCTGTCTTCTTCAAATCAAAGAATCTATCATTTTTGACAAATGTAGATGTAGATATAATGTCACAAAACCTCTTGAGAATAAAATTCAATAGTATAAACTTTTGAAAAGCTTGCATTCAGGCAACATGTTGATTCTGATAACAACTCATCTGATTATGAAGTGACCTTTCAAGATGATTTCACAGATATCAATAGTTCTTTTAATACCGAGAAATCTTGAATTCTGATTCTGATGAGGAGAATAAACTGTTATACTTGACAAAAATGGGATTCTCAAAGGCTGAAACTTCAATAGCCATGTAGAGATGTGTGGTCCAAATTCATCAATTGCAGAATTGGCAAATTTTATATGTGCTGCTCAAATGACTAAGGCTGCTGATGCACTTCTTCGGATCAAATAACTCAAAGAACACTTCCAGAAGATGCTATTGGCAAATTCATATTCTAAATTCAATGCTTGATTTTGTCCAATCAGATAACTCAAAGAACACTTCCAGAAGATGCTATGTTCTGTCCAACCAGATCAGATAACTCAAAGAACACTTCCAGAAGATGCTATTGGCAAATTCATATTCTAAATTCAATGCTTGATTCTGTCCAATCAGATAACTCAAAGAACACTTCCAGAAGATGCTATGTTCTGTCCAACCAGATCAGATAACTCAAAGAACACTTCCAGAAGATGCTATTGGCATATTCATTTGTTCCAGTTAATGTTTGGAATAGGATATCACCATGCTCATTCGATGTAGAGCCAAAATTTGTAGATTCGAAGCATTTCCATGCTATTACACTGAAAAGGGCTATATTCATAATTCTGCCAATTGAGAACAGATTTCCTCTTATTCTGCTTCCTCCATGTGCTGATGCTTTTCCATTGACAAAGAAGTGATGGCCTTCATGGGATCCAAGAACAAAGTTGAACTGTTTATAAACATGTACATGAAGTGCCAAATTGACAGAAAGGATCTGTAAGGCTCTTGAAGCTTATGACAATGAGTCACCTTCGAGTGTTCAAAAATATGTTCTTGATGAGTGCTGAAAATGGAATCTAGTATGGGTTGGAAGGAATAAGGTTACTCCACTTGAACCTGATAAGGTGGAAATGCTTCTAGGTTTCCTTAAAAACCATATACAAGGATCTGTATAGAAACATGTCTCCTAGTGATATCAATGTCTTGTTTCTTTTTGCTGGAATCAGTACTGCAAAGATCATCTCCTACTGTTTTAGTATATCTTTGAAAACAGATGTGTAAGAACTGAAGGGTGATCGGTTGGAGCAATTGATGAGTAGATTTGGCGGATTCGACCTTGTTGTCGGTAGAATCCCGTGTAATAATCTTGATGTTCATGGCTTTAAGCTAGTGATAATTTGCTTACTTTGTATTCCATGTATTTAAAAGTATTAACATAAAGTGATATTCAGAAATCTTTAAATTATTTCAAAATTATGTTAATTCAATAGAAAAGAATAAATTGAATTTCCAAAAATAAATTGAATCTCAAATAATTTGAACTTGAAATAGATAT